GTGTGATCATGGGTATTGCCTCTCCTCAATGGGGTGTGGTCCCAAAGGTGTTTCCCCTTGCCTCTAATCTGGGATGGTGTGTAATCCCAGGGATATCGCCTCTTCCCCAGGATTGGGTGTCTTTTTCCCTAGGATAGTGTGTAATCCCATGGATATTGCCTCTCCCCAAAGATGAAGAATCAGCAAGGCAGTCCTATATTTCATTTTGAGCATGAGATGGCAAATGTATAGTAGGCACAACTGCCTGTAATTGAGAAAACAAAAACCTTTGAAGCTCAAAAGATCTTGAAAAGAAAGTTAGCAAATAGGGTATGTAAAGTGTTATGTAATTATGATGTCTTGAAGTTTGATCATGATTTGTACATTTTATACATTTTCTATTGATACAGAGAATCAAACTTAAAACAGTTAGCAGCTCTGGATATATCAGATGGAATGGAGTCAAAGGCAGTTTTTGGTTAGAAGTAAATTAAAAATAGTTGAAGAAAGTTTGTGTAATTTTTGTATTGTTAACAATACATTTAATATCCACACGATCAGATAAATACAAATATAACAAATGAAAAAAGAATTGAAAGGACAGGTACAAGTAAATCACACACCACAAAAAAGAAAAAAATTAAGAAAAGTGGTTTGATTGGGAGATAAAGGACTGAACAGATTTGAACAAATTTTACCACCCTCGTTCCCAGGGTCTACTCCGCTTTCAAGATGGCGGCTGGGCGCGGGAGAAGACCCTGGGGTACGCTGTGAAATACTCCACGAATCGTGGAGTATTTTGTCGTCTTCGCTACACTTGACCAGCGGTTCCGGGATTCAAAATGGCTACTGGAAGGACAAGAAGTGCTGCCAGCAAGCTTCGTTTTTAACATGTTATACACCAAATTAAGCCGCGGAATAACGTTTTTGTGGTCCGTTGAATTTTCGAATAGATTTCTGCCGTCTTTACGCATGATTTGTGAGCGGTCTATTTTATTTAAGGTGAGGTTTATTACACATTTTATGACTGTTAAAATTTTAGCACCAGTTTGGCTGTATAAACAATGCACGATTAAGAAAGTCAAGTTAGGGAAGTTGTCGAAAGTAAAGCGGATAATTTTTGGGTGGATATATTATTTTTTTGTCGATTAATTTGTTTTATTTCGTGCTCGGATCGCGACCTTGTAATTTTTGTTTTTTATAGCAGGAAAGTCATGCCCAATCTGATTAATAAAAAAATATTAAATGCAGCATGATCATGGTCGAATCTTTTTGTGATTGTTTTTTATTTAGAGGTGTTATTTTTAAGGTTCAGGTTGAGCCAGTACTTTGTGTGTGTTTAATATCTAAATAAAGATTGCTTCCTCCTAAACACTTCAGCATGGAAACTCACATACATTTAAACAGATTTAAATTAATTTAGTAAAATATCAAAATGTAATTTCAACTGTACAAAAAAGTGGGAGGCTTCCCTGCGTGGTTTCTGTGGATGACAATGTTTTATAGCCTTTTATATTTAGCTTTATTTGGAAACCAATAATTATTTATTATATTTTATGCCCTGGGGTGTACTTTGAATTTTTGGAGGGATTGTGCCATCCAGTACTGAAACCAAAATGTATAACTTTCCTGTACACTATTACAGACCTGGGCCAGGTTTTTCAAAAGGTGGATAATGCAATCACTATCCGGTGGATAAGTATTAACAAAACAAACTACACTATCTGTTGGATAGCGATTTATCCGGTGGATAGCGATTTATCCGGTGGATAGCGTTATCCATTTTTTGATCAACTGGCCCTGGTCTTTAAAATCCATACCCTATTTTCTGACTACTTGTTTCTGTTCTAGTTGTACACTGGAGAACAATAACTCTATTGAGGGCGGGTACTTATTGATCGTCTATTTGCAGGGTGGATCTAGAATTTGTTGAAGGGGGGGGGGGGGGGGGGGGGGGGGGGGTGTTTGTTAGCCAATATTTTGTCATTTTATTTTAGCTAAAAACAGTAACAATTTTTTACACCTGCCCAAAGTGCTTGATTTTTTGGCGGATTTTGGGCCCACCCAATCAAAGTGTTCACACTTTCTGACTCACACAAGTAAGGTAGAGTAGCACCCAAAATATATGAAGAGGGCCCTGGCCCATGGTCAGCCATATTTTGCCCAAATCCTAGTCTCCCAGCCTAATGCTTGCTCAAATTACCCCATTCCCAACAGCAAAATTGGTGCCCCAAATCCCATTTTTCCAGTGAAAAAAGGCAAATCCCAGTTCCCATTTTACCTCTTCAGGACCCTATCCCCAGCACAAAAAAATTACTACAGCTAAAAAAATACTCCATAACAAGGATAATAAGATAAAGGTAAAGCAACTTTATTTATACATGTCAATCTAAAAATGAAAATACCTCCTAGAACAAAAAAAAATTAAAATAACCCATATCACTCTGAATAAATTCATTCACACCTCCCCAACACAATATACATTTGAGGGGCACAAGGAACAATAAATGTCATACAAAAACATTGCAACACAGCAAAACAAAAAGGACAAAAACTGAAAGAAATGACCTACAAGAAAACAATACCCTGCAGTACACCAAAAGAAACTTAATCACACAAAACTTGCACCCAGTACAGTCTTTATTGACATACAGTGTACATACAACTGCTGAAATTCCTCAACCATGGAGGCCCACCTTAATGACCAAGAAACATAACTGTTGATCGATACCTCAACAGACCACTGAGGGAACAACATCTAGTTGGAATAATCATGAGGATTGCCTGATGAAGACTAGCAGTATACACAAAGCAGTCTAAACGTTGTGATCATTGACAACACCTCAAAGTGACTCTATCATGAGACAAATGATTAAATATTCATCTATCTACCTAGCCTCCTACGCAGACGCTCTTTGGGCTCGTCGCGCAATCTTTTCTTCCCCACGAACGTTTGTGGGGGCCGAGGAAAGATTGCGTGACGATCCCAAAGAGCGTCTGCATAGGAGGCTACTATCTACCACGATGAACAATAATTTCCCAACATCAGACAAAAATTAAAACTAATAGGTGTCCCTTTCATAGCAGTATCTGGATTACAAACATTATATGAGTGTGGTAAAGGAGGTGTTCCTTAATAGAGGTGGCCCGAAGTAGAGGTTCCACTGTATGTTGTAAACTTGTATAGGTGATTTAATACCTATACCAGCTTAGAAAATTGAGAAAAAACAGCTTATATAAACTATAATCTTCATTTTAAGTATAATCAAGTTTACAAAATATTTCAAGGAAGGGCTTTCCTTACTTTTAAGTGCAGTGCATCAAAATGGTCATAATATTGTATCTTGTCTGTTCAAATCATTTGATTGTAAGCTTAATCATTCTCTGAAAAGTACAGATCACGTAGTTTACGAGTGAAAAATTCGATTCGTAATTTGTGCGAGCAATACATAAATTCAGGATTCCGTCACATTTTCAATTCGCCGTTAAAGCACTTTGAAGAAATTCCAGGCTTCGAATAATAACACATAAGCTTAAACATTCATAAACGTGTAATCATATCATCGATCTGATTTTCACCTTGCTTGATATTCCAGCTCTTGATCTGTGCGCCTTGAGGCATTTCAAATTAATTTACGGTCCAACGTCAACTCCACCTCTTCCTTAAATTGCCGTGCATAATTTAAACAAGACGGGAAATATTTAACAGGCAATAATTTACGTTTCAATTCGAGAAGAAATAACAAAATAAAACTCCGCAAGTCGGCCATTTTGCAAGGAAGACTATTTCCGCCAATCACGACTAATGTAAGAATCATAAATCTAAAGACCAATCAGCGTGGGCGTTATATCAGTGTACCCCAGGGTCTTCTCCGCGCCCAGCCGCCATCTTGAAAGCGGAGTAGACCCTGGGAACGAGGTTGCAAATTTACATTAATTTGAAAGTCAATATCAGGCACACCATTTAAAGGGGCAGTGTCACGGGGATTTGATGTCATTTCAAAAACCAAAAAACGTTTTTGTATTAACAGAGAACTAAAAAATAATGGTCAAATTTTGTTATAAATTACCATCCTAGTGTACTAAAACTGTCAATAAGTGTCTCTGGCCATAGAAACTGGGTCGGAATGGATCGCAATTTGAAAAAAATGTTAGGCTAACTTTTTTTCAATTTCTCGCATTTTCGTTTCCAAAATGCACTAAGAACAGATTATAATTTGTTCCTCTTTCAAGAATTTGGTTGATTTCTTTTTCTTGGTGTTCTAGAATTATTTTGTAAATACAAAAAGGTACTGAAGCACAGTTTTGACCAAAAAAGGTCAAAATCCCCGTGATACTGCCCCTTTAAAAGCCAATCATTTTTTAAATTGGGCTCTTCACTTGTTAGATGATCCATCCCTTACTGTTGGTGAGCTGTTCTTAAGTGGTGTTGGAGGAACACAGCTCATGAGACACCTGGCCTATAAACTGAGGGCCTCACAAGAGATGTGTGATCAGGACCCATTGCTCCTGTGGTCCACATTTTTTAACCAGGCTGTTTATACCGTGGTAAACCTGATGTATCCTTTGTTTGCTGGAAGACTTGCTTAGAATCAGTAGTCAGTTTGTTACTTATAACTTGCGTGAACCATTTTTGTTAATTATTAAGTACAATATTCTACTTTAGTAAAGGAGCACCAGTTTGCCATATTGTATATTAACCCTTTCACTCCCAGGAGTGCTAAGTTCAAAACTGAGGAATAAATTTTGATTTTCATTTTGCAACATTGTCAAAAACAAACAGTACCACATAAAAGTACTGCTCAATAGCTTTCATTTGAATGGTCACACACTAGGGTCACTAGGCCTTATGTGCCACATGGCACAAAGTGGATAGCTGAACACTAGGGTTTCATCCATAAATGTAACAGATACAACCACATTTATTGACTCAAGGTTGACTCTGGGAGTGAAAGGGTTAATCCATTTCTATCCTCGCTATTGTTTAGCTGAAGTCATCCTCACTTTCTAATGTCGCAGGAGATGTGGTGGCCTAATGGTTAGTGCGTTGGACTCCGGTTTGAGCAGCCGGGTTCGAGCCCTGGCCAGGGTCTTGTGTTGTGTTCTTGGGCAAAACACTTTACTCTCTCAGTGCCTCTCTCTACCCAGGAGTATAAATGGATACTGGCGACAAAATGCTGGGGGGTAACCTGAGATGGACTAGCATCCCATCCAGGGGAGTAGCAATACTCCTAGTCACTTCATGCTACAGAGACTGGGATAAGCTCTGACACTTGTGGGTCACTAGGCTCGTTAAGATGTTTACCGTCTAAAATTAAAAATATTTGGTATCACCCATTTACAACTACAGGGGGAATGCACTTACCTGATTGATCTTAACACAAATAAAACAATAGCTGGCCATCCCGGCAGAGTGTCATTTTCCCAGAATTTCTTCTCTCAAGGTGTCAGTATCTTCACATTCAAGAGTATGCTCATCTGATTTGTTTACTGGAATGACACCTGTCAATCATCTTGGCATTTCTTGTTGGGCCAATCGCATTTGGCATTAGGAGAATATCACAAGGCCTTGGGTGCTTCCTGAAGGCTGCAAAGGGAATTGGTAAGTGATTGCCTGTTACACCTGCCAGTGGATTTCAAAGGGTGATCAATATTTAATTTCTCGTTACAATATCAATACATTGTCAAGAACAAGGTGATGAGAATACAGAAAACCATCAACTAGGGGATAATGTAGCACAGCTTTCTCAGTAGCAATACTCCTAGTTACTTCATGGTCTAATGGTTAGCGCGTTGGACTCCGGGGTCACTGTGTTGTGTTCTTGTGCTTGACACTTTACTCTCACAATGCCTTTTTCCACCCAGGAGTAAATGGGTACCGACAAATTGTCAGGGGGCACCTGACAAAAATGCTGGGGGGTTACCTGCAATAGACTAACATCCCACCCATAGGAGTAGCGATACTCCTAGTTGCTTCATGCTATGTAAACCACAGTTAAGCGCCGGCCTGGTAAGCCACTAGGCTTAGACAGACTTTAACCTTTAACTACGTGCAACAGAAAACAGAGTTAAGTGCTAGCACCAAGATTGGAATAGACTTAACCAGTTGACTAATTCAACTCACCAGTACCACTGTGATGGTGGCACATGGAGTAACAGAAATTTCTTTGATTTAACAATGCGACCTTACAGAGAATTTCAATCATGGACTAATGAATGGTGCTGCCATTGAAAATGAGCTGCTTTAACATGTGACTGGCGTTACTGTGATAACATCACTCTGCAATGTTGGTTACCACCATAATTCAACATTTGGACCATAATTTTCAAGTCACTGTTAATGCAATACTGCATATATATAGATATATTCTTTGACTGTCCACTTAACATTTCTTTATCTCTGTTTTGAATTATTTTAGGTTCACAGGACTCTCTCATGATGAAGGTTCTTCAGAGTGATTCCACAGATGTCCCAACACTACTTGTACTGTTGTATGTTAAGGTAAGGTATTCTAGTATTACTGATCAAGGCATAAGCAAATTCCACAACTTAGGCCCAGTTCAGATGCCGTACTTCACATGAGCCGAATCGAAATTCGAATTTAGGCCGACCCAAATTAATTTAGACCGGCTGAATTGATTCAGACGCCGAGCTTAATTCAGCCGAACTCAATTTAATAGGGAAAAATTGCTGTTATATTGAAAATACATTATAATAATTCATGCATTTGTTTCGGCTCATGTGAAGTTCGGCGTCTGAATCAAAGCCGGTCCACAGCCGTTATTCCCGGCTGAGACAGGCGGGAAGAACGGCTGAGCCAATCTGAATTCAATCAGCCGTTCCGAATTGATTCAGACGCCGTACTACACATGAACTTAATTCATCGAATTTGATTCGGCTCATGTGAAGTACGGCGTCTGAACTGGGCCTTAGGTGCAAATAACTCTCTACTAAATAAACCATTTGAAGCCAATGGTCGCACAACATATTTCCGTGGTTTAGCCACAACCTTACACGCATGTGCATGGCCAAATTAACCATGCCAAGCTCCCACATGTCTTCTGTGGTGCTGAGGTTTGAAGCAACTTTTGGGTGTTTGCCTGTGAAGTAAATGGCGGTACAAGGTTGATGATTTTCTATGAGACCTTTTCACCTGGCTATACCATGCTAACGAGTGTTAACCAGGATGAAACAGCATCCATGGCTGCCACTCCATGGGTGATTTGGCTGTATTCATGCATCTTTCAATGGTTTAAATTTTTAAGCTTTTCCTCCGGAAAATAGTTTTAACGTTCCTGCTTGAGCCACGCCCATCCAAGTTGACAGGGTGCTTGGAGATTGGTGTCACTGGAAGAGCATTGCAAAGCTTTTGTGTTTTGTCCACAAGAGGACCTTCATGTTCAGCATGTTGTCCTTTTTAGCAATGAATGAGTTTTCGGGATTATGGCAAAAATTTGTTAGTTCGTAAACTTTTCTTGGTAATTCCACTGATCAGTGTGCATTATAAGGCCTAGGAAATCACAACACTAAAGAAGTAGGCATTAGGGGGTGGTAGAAAGGCTGCATTTTAATAACTCCTGCCCAAATTACATGGCAAAGCCTTTCACGGGGAAGAGCCAAAACTGCATTCAATGAATGTCATTAACATTAACAACATTCCTGAGCTGGCTCATGGCAGCCTTTGATTAAAACTACAATCTTATGGGAAACCCGTAAAAACCCTGTAGGCAATATCGACACTTTAACTCCATCATGCAATGTTTTCTCTTTAAGAACGATCTAACATTTTCAGTCTTGCTCTAAAAGCTGTAGTCTTTTTTCTAAACTTATAACTAGTCTGCTTATATCCAGAATGTTTCTCCCTGTTAACTTTATTTACAACATTATTGTCCTACGTAAGAGTGATAATGTTTATTTTCTTATGTATTGAATGTTGTGGTTTTCCTTGGTAGGTGTTGAAGCTGTTTGAGCAGTTTGACGCACCTGATTATGTCATCCGTGTGGCTCATATAGCTCTGGACATGGCTTCACCTGATGATCCAAATATTGTGAGTATACACTTAGATAGGGTGTAGTCAGGCAGGGGTACATGCGGGAAGGGTGTGGCATGGAAAGGGTGCACCCTTGGTCGGTCTGGTTGGTCAGGCAGGGAATGGTGTGGCCAGGAAGGGTGCACCCAGTAAGGGTGTGATTAGGAAGGGGTACACTCAGAAAGGTTGTGGTCAGGTAGGGGTACACTTATAAAGGGTGTGGTCAGGCAGGGGTACACTCAGAAACAGTGTGGTCATGCTGAGGTACAACTCAGAAAGGGTGTGGTCAGGCAGGCAGAGATACACTCAGAAACAGTGTGGTCATGCTGAGGTACAACTCAGAAAGGGTGTGGTCAGGCAGGCAGAGATACACGCAGAAACAGTGTGATCAGGCAGGGGTACATCCAGAAAGGGTGTGGTCAGGTAGGGTTACATCCCTGTCTAACCACACCCTTTCTGTGTACCCACAAAGTTGGTGTTGAGCAGGGGTGCACCCTGTGTGTAGCCAGAAAGGGTGTGGTGAGGCAAGGGTACATCAGTTGATCACATCTGGGGATGAAAAGGTTAAAAGTCAGTGCCATTAAAGTAGCTAGTACTGTAGTTGAAGTCATGTATCCACCTATAAGTTTTGCTTACGAGTGAGACGACATTATTTTGCGGTAATGTCGTCTCAAATGCGGGCCGGTGATTGGTTCTGAAGATGCAGATTGGCACCGGGGCACTGAATTGGGTTCCTCACGTAAGAATCAAAATTCAAACGTTTTCTACGATGAACTCGTCGGCAATCGTTTATATCTTGTCATTTGCTCATTTATGGAGTGCTTTATTCGCCGGTACAACTTTCTCAATCTAAAAGTTAGCGTATGGTGAGTATTAAAAGTCATTTATTTCTTGTAAGAGTTTGTTTACCGTTTTCACTTGCTTTCGCGATGTGCACGCGCTAAATTGTAAATCAACTTTTTCGGTGCAAAATTGGATTATTTTCCCATTTCATTGCTGTTTGGTACTTTAGCAAACTTTGTGGGACATAATTCTGAATTGTTTTGTTCCCATAAGCAATTTATCAGCGAAAAAAATCCGACTTTCTTCGAAACGATAAAATGCTTTCGCGTTCAAGTATTCGTGTACATTACGTCGCGTATAGTGGGAATTTCTATTTCAATCAACAACAACTGATCTTAATTTTCCTTTTAATTTGTCCAAAAATGTTTGAATCGCGATACAAACTAAATTCGATTTTGAGACGACATTACGGCTTTATAATGACGGCGTTGGGAGAAAATATATTCCGTATTGGGCTCCGTCGCTTTGCGACTCTGCCCAATACGGAATATATTTTCTCCCAACTAGCCGTCATTATAAAGCCGTAATGTCGTCTCAAAATCGAATTTAGTTTATAGTAATCTTCACTGTTTTGATTTTCAGCCTGATCTGTGGTCAAATATTTTCAAACATCATCTGGAGTTAGGACACAATGATGCGGCATACAATGCTTTGATCGCAAACCCTAATCCTGTCAGGTCAGTTTACAACTGTATCAGCATTGAAATTCTCCTAACTGGATTACATACATTTTCTTTAAATCTTGTTTAGAGATTTTGGTTTTCAAGTCAACTTAAATGGTAAACGGAGGTTAAAGATTAATCACTGGTGTAGATTGACAGGTTCAGCTCATTGTATCAACACATACAGGGTTTCACAGTTCTTGGAGTTAGAAGAACCTGACAGCAAAATTAACCTGTGACAAGAGGAGGATGGTCCGGGTTCGAGCCTTTGCCGGTCATTGTGTTGTGTAGTTGGGCAAGACACTTTACTCTCACAGTGCCTCTCTCCACCCAGGAGTATAATAAATGGGTGCCGGCAAATTGTCAGGGCAACCTGATAACTATACTGGGAATACTTGCAATGGACTAGCATACCATCCAGGGGAGTAGCGATATTCCTAGTCGCTTCATGTTATGGACCCAGAGTTAAGCCCCGACCTGATAAGTCACCTGGCTTGTGGACAGATTTTAACCTTAACCTGTGATGGACTAGCATCCCATGCAGGGGGAGTAGCAAT